ATATATTATTTTGTTGCCAGCATGGTGTGTAAATCAAGGGCCGTATTCACAAAACATCTTAAGGCTAAAAGTAACTCTTAAAAATAATGGGCGTGTCAGTCCTAACTTTAAGACTCCTAAATTTTTGCTCTAAAAGTAAGCATTTTACAAAGCGTTTTAGCTCCTAAATCTGTGAAAAGTTAGGTCAAGTCAAAATTCAAGAGGAATCCTAAGTCACTTAGCCCAAATCACAAACAATCCTAAAATGGCTGTTGCCGGCAATCTGACTCGGAATGTAAAGATTTTAGAAACATTTCATGATAATTTCCCTTTAATTTGATTATGTCCTTCTTTTCATGTACAAGTTGGGCAAGAATTAACAGCTGTTCTTGAGTCCAGTTTGGTTTTCTTTTATGTTTGCACGTCTTACTATTCTAGTTTGTTCATTAAAACACTGCTTATATGCATATCCGCTATTTTTTATGAGATGCAAACATGTAAGAGGCTGACAATTACCTGAACATATACATGTTTCATTAGTGACATTAGCCTACATTTTAAAAACTTATTTTTTGAGTATGGCAACATTTTTATTTTAAATTCTTTATTTGAATAGACTATAGCAACATTTTTATTTTTTATTTTATTTTTTAATATGGCAACATTTTTATTTTACTCTTAGCTTAAGATTTCTCCTCATTCCTTAATAAAAGTTGGTCTCAGCGGCTTTGTGAAAAGGTTTGAAGAGGAAACTCTTTAACTGCTCTTAGTGGTAAGAAAAATATTTTGTGCTTACGGCCCATGATCAGTTTGCTTTTAACTGTTAATTTTGAAGTAAAGTACTGACATACAGAATTTTTTATGCATATTCAACTATATCCATTTCCATTTGCAGTCAGATCGCACCTGGTGGCACACTGCAACATACAGACACGATCACCCCTCAGTACCCTGGGAAGAAGGTGCTGATGGCGTGTCTGGACTGCGCTACAGTGAGGCAGGTCACCAATCAGCTGGAAATCTTTGTGCAGTAATGGATAACGGATTGCCAAGAGGGAACCAGAGATAAAAAAAGAGAAAAAGGGTTCCCAATACCATTTTGTTGAATTGCTTTGCTTTCTTCACAAATATTATCGAAATACAAGCTAGCGTAAATTTTTTTTTTCTTTACACCCACAACTTCCAACACTGAGTTGTTAATAATATAGTGTTTTAATCATTTTATGCAAAAAGTTTTCATTTGTAAACTCATTTAACTGAACAAAATACACACAATCAAACATTAAGTACCGATACAGAATGCACAGTCACCCTCAACCTATCTGGGGGTCTGATACATTCTGATTAGCAAAGTGTAGATGCAAGAAATCATGCAGTTATCAGGATAAGTTATAAATTGGGAGTGGGAGGAAGAGTGGAAAAAGCAGGAGAACCCCATAATATTGGGAATGTTGGCAGGTATGACAAAAAGCTATGAAATAACAAAGGTCTATTAAATTTTAAGAAAAAATGTAAACGATTTTCTGAAATTACACATAAATCTAAATTACATGACCATTGTTTTGGTTGGGTGCCTTAATTAACATGCATTAAACATGTATTAATTAACTGTATTAATTGGACTGTATTAATCAGAATATGTTGCATATTTTCTCTGCTAAAATGCCACTGACTGTGTTTAACTAATATAAACTAACAATAAACCTTCAGCATGAAAGCATTTTTGATTATTTTATTTGTTATACTGCAAATCTTCATTAAGACATCAACACCACCTGTAAAAAAAATCTAATAATCTCGCTCATGAAATGCCATTCACAACCCATTTTACTTCTATGCATTTTCCAGTGTAATGGAATATTCAATGTTAAAAACTAGAGCGGGACGTTATTTACTAACTAGATACAAAAGTTAGTCAAGATTGGCTTGAGAAAGCCTAGCCCGAAAGTTTAAAGCTGTGAAAATTTAGATAGATGTTGATAACATGTTTCTAGCATGATTAGCAAGTTACTAGTATGTCGCTAGCATGATTAGCAAGTTACTAGCATGTCGCTAGCATGTTTCTAGCATTATTAGCATGTTGTTAACATGATTTGTTAACATGATTAACAAGTAACTAGCATGTTGCTAGCATGATTAGTAAGTTAGCATGTTTCTAGCATGATTAACAAGTTACTAGCATGACGCTAGCATTTTTCTAGCATGATTAGCATGCTACTAGCATGTAGCTCACATGATTAGCAAGTGACTAGCATGTTTTAGTATGATTAGCATGTTACTAGCATGTTGTTAGCCTGATTAGCACGTAACTAGCATTTGTTGTTAGCATGATTAACAAGTAGCTAGCATGATTAGCAAGTTACTAGCATGTCGCTAGCCTGTTTCTAGCATTATTAACATGTTGCTAGCATGATTAACAAGTAACTAGCATGTTTAGCAAGTTACTAGCATGTTTCTAGCATGATTAACAAGTTACTCACATGTCGCTAGCATGTTTCTAGCATAATTAGCAAGTTACTAGCATGATTCTAGCATTATTAGCATGTTACTAGGATGATATAAGCATGATTAGCATATTTTGCTAGCATGATTTAGATAGATAGATAGCATTCAGAAATTTTAGTCTCATAAGAATAAGAAGAAGTTTAAATGGCAGATCAGTAGGTTGGCTTTCTCAAGCCAACCTAATTAATATAATTGATTTTGGGAGCAAAATGATTGAAGACGCAACTACTCACCGGTCCCATCTAAAAGTGGGCAGTCCTTTAAACGTTTGATTGATACTAGCTAGCTAGTCCACATAATGGTTACTTTAACTAGCTAGTCCACATAATATCAGTCGAAATGGAAAGTTGTTTTTTTAAAGGTGAAGTTATTTAATAAAATATTATGAAGACGAGCAATTTTCATTTCAGGAATACATTTACATATTTAGTCATTTAGCAGGCACTTACAAATGCTCCTGTGGCTCGGTAGTAGAGCATTGAGTTAGCAGTGCAAGAGGTCGTGGGTTCAGTTCCCAGGGAACACACATACTGGTAAAAAAGTATAACCTGAATGCACTGTAGTCCCATCTGCTAAATGCATAAATGCAAATGAGGACAATAGAAGCAATCAAAATCAACAAATAACCAATGATATGCAAGTGCTATAACAAGTCTCAGTTAGCTTAATGCAGTACACGTAGCAAGTATTTTTTAAATTATATATTAAATTTAAAGAAAACATATAATAGAAAAAGAATAGCGCAAGCTAGTGTTAGAGGCCTTTTTTGCTTTTGTTAATTGTATAATAAATAAAAAGAAAACAGATAGAATACAAAAAGATTAGAAAAGCTAATGTTAGTTTTCTTTTTCTTTTTTTTTAAAGAAAACAAGCAGTAAATTAATAGAGTGCAAGAGAAGAGAAGTGGTCCAAGAACTGAGCCCTGAGGCACCCCAGTAGTTAGATGTTGCGACTTGGATACCTCACCTCTCCAAGATGCCTTGAAGGACCTATCTGAGAGGTAAGACTCAAACCACTGGAGTGCCATTCCTGAGATGCCCTTTGCCAATAGGGTTGACAGGAGGATCTGGCGATTAACTGTGTCAAAAGCAGCGGACAGATCCAGCAAGATAAGTATTGAAGATTTGGAATCCGCTCTTGCCAGTCTTAGGGCTTCACATCTGCGAGCAAAGCAGTCTCGGTTGAACGTCCACTTCTGAAACCAGACTGGTTGCTGTCGAGGAGGTGGTTCTCTGTGAGAAAGGCAGAGACTTGAGAGTTGAACACAGCTCGTTCAAGTGTTTTTGCAATGAAAGGAAGAAGGGAAACTGGTCTGTAGTTCTCTAAAAGAGATGGGTTAAGGGTGGGAATAGCATGCAACAAGTACAAAAACAGCTAACAGTCCCATTTTAATGTAGCCTAGTTGACTTTAATCTGTAAAACTATCAGTGAGCTTCGTTTCATCTTACTAATAAAGCACAGAATTATTTCACTGTTTAGCTAGCACTTCATTCTTGTCATTAAAATAATTCCAGACAGAATCTGCTTATTTTCATATTTTCATTTTTCATATTTTCACAAAGAAAGGAAAATTCTGCTGACGCAATCGGTGCCTTACCTCATTCACTCCACTCCCTCCATATTAATGAAACATGGTTTGGACAGCCTCCACTGCATCAGTGCTGCTGGAATACCCCCCTTCTCTTTCTGTCTCGCCTGCTTTCCCCAAGCCCTCCCCATGCCCACCTGTATGAGTCACCACGGAAACCCTCTCAAGTTCTCAAGGGACAAACACATTAAACAGGGATTCCCTGTCGAAATCACAGTTCATTTATCTCTGTTCACTCATGATTTTACGATATTCCTCTAAGACGGGCTGTGTAATATTATTTGTATCAGCTAAAATATTTGCTTTTCTGATGAAAGAGATCACATAACCTATATTATACTTTTTGTTGCACGCCTCCGCCAGAAGATGGAGACAAAACATGAATAAAAACCTGCAAATGTTTGATATGCGGACATCTCCGCAATCCCTGAAATGCCAGTACAGTGCGAGAGGGGGGAGAAGGGGGCCAGCCCGGTCTAGCAAATGAGAACATAGAGAAGTGGGGAGTCCGACGGTGAATTTTACGTCAGGCTTGAGATGTGGGCGTGAAGAAGGGAGAGAAAAAACACGAGGCATTACCGCCTTCTCTTAACGGGGTGCAACATTTCACTTCCCTGCGCCACGCCGACAACGGGAAAAATCACAAAGAGTTTCCGAATAGCTGCGTGAACTAAAGAGCGATGTGCAACGCTCAAATTTGGCAGTCTTTTCCCCTCACAACTATCTAAAATTGGCATATACTCCAATGGTTTTACTGGACGTAGGATGGGATTAACTTTGTCTGGAAGATATATTTCATTGTTTCTTGCTGTTCAAATAGGTAAGTCGAATATTTCTGTCGTATATTTTGGGATGTGCTGAATTTTCCTTTTTTTAAATATCGTTTTTCTTTTATATAGATACGTATAAGTTAACGCTTATAGGCTAATTCATAGTTAAGCCCGTAAATGTACTACATTTCTGTATATATACCATTTTGTTGTATTTTTAGAGTGTATGTTGGTGGATATTTTAATTGCAATTTTACTGTCCCGGCTGCGATTTTAAAGGTTTGCAACTGGCTAGACATCTGGATCTTGACTAGGAAAATTCTCTAAAGTCTTTTAGATGTGTAACAATGATGTAATATTGCATTGCATCTCCATTAAATGTTGGAGAGTGTTCCGAAAAATAAAGCTAAGTAGCCTAAATCTTATTGGCGCAAGTTGGTGAAAGTGTGCGACCGCCCGATCCTCTCCATAATAATTCATTCAAACAGATATTGAAAAATAATAGGAAGAGTATGTTTAATACATGCATCATCAGTTTTATATGGTCCCATGTGTCCCTTTATAAATAACGCAATAACCACAAAATATAATTTACTTATAATTTAGCGAAAAATAAGTGGTGGGCAATTGTTGTTTTAGAATATACAGAAGATAACAGGTCTTGTTCATGTAATATTGTGCGTTTTTAAATGGCTTTCTTGTTAGTGCTGTTGCAGGGCTCTGTAATGAAAATTGCACGTTGTGAATTAGGATGAAATCAGTAGCGATGAATTGTGGTTGTTAGTGAAAAAGCTGGTGCCATTAGCCTACCTACCTAAACTACATTAATTTGCCATAAACCCCCTCCTGAGTTCATTGAACAGATTATGTGGTGCCAGGTTGACACCGGTACCGCTGACAGGGTCTAGTAAAGTGGTCGTGACCACTAGTACAATAGGAGAGGTGAGTCTATATTAGAAGCTCAGTTGTTTCTAAATATAGACCATCGTGCCTACAACGAAAAACGATTTTAAAAATTCACCGTTTGTTCGCAGTCTTGTCTTTTGTCACTTTTAATTCCAGTAAAGAAAATAAAGGCAGGGAGGACTGAAATGCATTTTAAATATGAAAGCATACATCCCATTAATACACGGCTCTCCAAAGCAAGCTGTATGAGCATCTTTGTAGCCTATTTCGCATATCCGCCATGTTGGTCTGAATATTTCAATTATTTTAGTAAAAATGCACGAAACAGGTTATATCGGGTGTAATACAAGGCATCGCATTTACGCCTTTATTTTCGCTCAGTATGATCTGTTGAAGGAATATGTTTGCAATGTTCAACATATGCGATTCTTGTAGAAGAAAAGGGCGATCTGTCCGTGAGATCACAATTATAGCGAGATAATTCGTTATGTAAGCCGTCAAAGGTGCGACATTACTCAGTAACACTGTGTAAAGAATCGATACAATAATTGTAATAATTTTAAGTGTGCTTTATCACTTCAAGTATTTTGTGTGATTGCTGGATGTGTTCATTTATTTATTCTGTGGGTGATAATGAACGAAACGACTGTTTCAGCTATACAGCATCAACCAACGACTTTTTACGATTTACGAAAAAAATAGATACATAATAACAGACATGATTGCATCTAGCTTATATTTTCATTTTCGTTTTTTATTTACCGTATAACGCTTGTAGAATAGAACATTGGAATGTACAGCATATAACGGATATATAATAATGTAGGATCCTATAACATGTAATGCATATAATGTGGGGACAAATATACAACGTATAATGCATGTAATATAAAGTAGGTAGGCCTACACATGTACTGTATAAAATGCAACATAGGGAAATACAGGCTAGCATGCACTGCATTTAATATAATGGATCATACAGCATGAAATGCATAGAATATAATGTAGGGACACTGGCTGGCTAGAGTAGGCTCTATAATGCACATACAGTGTATCGACGCAGGGTGTACTGCATATAATAGGCTACTATGAAAAGCATTTGATATAGTCTAATGTAAGGACATATACAATTCTGAGCTATATAGTGTGTGTGTGTGTGTGTGTGCGCGTGTGTGTGTAAAGGGTGTGTGCATCTTGCCCATATTCCTACAGTGGTTAAACGGGCAGAGGCCCGGTCTGATTTGGACAGTGAAACAACTTAATCAATTCAAGAGATCTCGCTGTTTAACGAGCCTGAGAAGAAGCCACTGGCGTTTTAAAATGTACAGCATATAACGGATATATAATAATGTAGGATCCTATAACATGTAATGCATATAATGTGGGGACAAATATACAACGTATAATGCATGTAATATAAAGTAGGTAGGCCTACGCATGTACTGCATAAAATGCAACATAGGGAAATACAGGCTAGCATGCACTGCATTTAATATAATGGATCATACAGCATGAAATGCATAGAATATAATGTAGGGACACTGGCTGGCTAGAGTAGGCTCTATAATGCACATACAGTGTATCGACGCAGGGTGTACTGCATATAATAGGCTACTATGAAAAGCATTTGATATAGTCTAATGTAAGGACATATACAATTCTGAGCTAATGTGTGTGTGTGTGCGTGTGCGCGTGTGTGTGTAAAGGGTGTGTGCATCTTGCCCATATTCCTACAGTGGTTAAACGGGCAGAGGCCCGGTCTGATTTGGACAGTGAAACAACTTAATCAATTCAAGAGATCTCGCTGTTTAACGAACCTGAGAAGAAGCCACTGGCGTTTTAAGGTTCGTTAAACAAAGGGAGCTGGTCAATTGATCAAGTTGTGAGCTCCCAGTCTATCACCAGTCCCAAATGAAGAGGGAAGGAAAAGCATGTGTGTCCAGATCTTCTCATTTTCCCTAATAGATCTGTCATCAAAAAAGAGACTCTTTTCTAGATGTGTAAAAAAAAGGGAGGGGGAATACAAATCACTCAGAATGAAAATCTCCCCCCCCCCACTCCCCCCACCCTCATGTAAACCATTACATCATCGTTTGTCCACGCGCCACCCTCATGCTCAACACACACATTTATGCATTTATTATAACCAGAATAATTCAATAAGATGAGAGAAGAAAATATAGAGGAAATATAAACGCTGATAGTAAATATCCAACGAGTCCAAATGAACGCTATTCCGGAAGATGCAAAATAATAAAGATGTCAGCAGTTGTTTTTAAACATAAAAAAAGTTGATTTATGCTCATTTTTCGTTTTCCAGCCTATCTGCTGCAGGCGGTTCAAGCGGCTGGGAAATGTGAAACAGTGTTCAAAGGTTTCTCCAACTGCCTGCTTCAACTGGGAGAGAACATGGCCAACTATCCACAGGAGCTGGACGAGAAGGAAAACCTTCAGACCATCTGCACGTAAGAGAAACATGCATACACACAACAGATGAAATATAAGTGTGAGAGAGTAGGGAGGGAGAGAGAGAGAGGGGAACAAGAGAAACGGAGCCAGATGGCACAAGGGGCCCCTTGTTTAATTCAACAGCTCCAGGAGCTGAAATGGAGCCGTGCAGGCAGTACGCACTATTCACATTTCACCAGTTAATTACAATTAGATGAACCATCTCTACACGCCAAGGCCAAAGGTCAACATCTATAATCGGCTCGGATCGGGAGGTAATGCACGATTATTGTAAGCGATCCGCCCTATAAAATAACGGGTTCTTTTACAGCCGTGACTGCGCGAATCAAAACGGAACAGTATCTTATTACAGGGACTGAAATCATGCTTCCCTTTTCTTCACATATTTTTTTCCCGATATTAAATCTGCCTGTCGTTGTTTTTAAATTATTATTATTCATATACACTGCTCATTCAGTTCTAAACATTCAGTTTTTTTTGTACTAAAATTAGATGCATAGCCTATAAAATGACTTTTGCATTAAATGTCCTGACAAGGGCAAAGCAGCTGATACTGCATGCATTTTCCATATAGCCTACTATACTATATAGGCTACTATACATTTTTTCTGCTTTAGTAAAAGCAATTTCTTTCATTAAATTCTATTGTATTCTAATGTATTTGTAGGGCGGCTACTTGCTGTGACCATGCGCGTGTTCATTTGTAGATGCAGGGTTTAGAATGTGGGTGTGTTCCTGAAATAAATTAATAAATGATAGGCTTGAGAGTGGGATAGAGGAAGGGGGTGGGGCGCAGGAGGGGAGTTGTAAGAGAGCGGGAGAGATGGGGAGGGCGCTAGAAGTCACGTGATATGGAGACTTTCCCTTTGGAGCCGCATTACATCTCGGGTTTCCCTCGTGCCCTGTCTCCTCCTTCACGTGGCTACATGAGGACTCATGCATGCTATAAAATGGATCCTAAGTTAGAGTTTCGAATAATGTCATAATTATGTGGATTGTATTGCCTACATATATATATATATTTTTAGTTTTTTAAAACACATTAATGCTAGCTATATTTTGTTATTAACCTTCAAATGAACTGAATAATTAAAATTGAGATGAATATGATATAATGTACAAAACTGATGTGGATTTTCTAAACAAAATACTATACTTAATGTTATTTACTTAATGTTATTTTAGTAGTGTTTAAAATGCAAATGAAAACGGAAGTTTAATGCAGTCAAATAGCTTAAATCCTTTTGGTTGACATAAACGCATAAACCGATACTGTGACGTTTATAAATTGAAAGCAAAACAAATCTCAAAACTGCTTTCCACATATAGAATATTTTCCAAATGGAATTTCAAAACCCCCCAAAAAAAATCTGTTTTCAGACATTTGAGTTTCAATTTCCCCAGAATTAGGACTATAGCCTACTTTACAAAATAAATAAAGACAATCAAACTAAACAAAATGAAAATGTATAATAATAACATTAATAACAAAACAGCACAATTGTAACATGCTTGACTTGAATATGTTAATGCAAGGTGAAGCGTGACTCAAATCAGAGATGAGTAATGATTTCTTTGCTTTGTGTTTGAAATATTTGATTTGCAGTTACTGGGATGATTTCCATTCATGTGCGACCACTGCTCTGGCAGACTGTCAGGAGGGAGCCACAGATCTGTGGGAGAAGCTGAAAAAAGAGTCCAGAAATCTGGACTTTCGCGGCAGCTTGTTTGAACTGTGTGCGGCAGGGAACGGCGCGAGCCGATTATCGGTTCGGTTCGGCGTGACGCTGATCCTAACTGCACTGTCTGCGCTCGTCACGTGGATGCAGTTTTAACCCACGGAGAGAGAAGACGAAGAAAAAATCTAAGAAGAGGAAAAAAAAGAAAGAAAGGAGAGAGTAAAAGACCAGATAAACCATCAACACAAGAATAAAAAAGAATAATAAAGTAATGACGATCAAAATTCATCCTCACCCAAATGGATTTATATACATATTTCATCTGGAGAAAAAGACGTTTTTTGCAAGAGACAATGGCAAGAAGAAGTCTTCTGGGAATGCTCAAGCACATTTGCCTGACTCTGGGTCGATTTCATGAAATATTTATCAGATATTGAGTTGAAATGAAGGCCTGAATTTCTGAAAGGTCCTGGTTAGAAGCGTAGTATTTTATAACATTACTGTCTGTTATGAATGAATTATTACTGTAGGCTTTTCACATTCTCAACGGCCATCATGCATTATAGAAAAATAGGAAATATTCTCCCATCCGTTTGTTTTTTTATACGCTCTTTGTCAATACTAAGTTTTTCATTTATCAAATGTATTTTAGTCAAGCCAAGTATATGGATGATGTGTGAGGGGGTTAGAAGGTTTGCCGACCCACCAATACAGAAAAAATAATATATATATAAGAAACGTCTCTAATAATAACGATGCTAATAATAGGCTTTAAATAATAGCCTAATCATCATGATAATAACAATTAGCCTATAATAAATAAACCTCAGGAATGATTAAAGGCATCTATTTAGTGGCATACAAGAGAGCAGAGAAAGAATATATATATATACTTTATTAAGGAACAAAGAAGTGTCAAATGTAGCCATAAGAGGCTGTGAGATAGTTGACTGTTGCCATTTTTTCCCAAAATGCTATTCTATTCCATTCAAAGAAGAATTGTCTCTTTTTATGTAGGACACATAACAGTATAAAGGTAACACTTTACATTACAGTGTCCATGTTGCAAATAACAAATGTGCAATTATAAGCAAGCAGCTCCAGAAAACAATTACACATCAAGTACACATAGTTCATTACTATTACATAGTAATTACACTGCAACGTAAAGTGCGGCCTGTATATTTCTCCCGACAGTATCGTAGCACGACAGTATCGGGACCTTGACATTAATAGTTGGATGATGTGAATTTTGCTAGCTTTATTTGATGTTGCCAAGGCATAGACCACGTTTCACTGCCTTCAGAAGATGTGTATTTTGTTTGTTCGTTCGTTTGTTCGTTTCTGGGGATGTTGCATATGAAATACCTGAATATTCAAAACCATACAAGTAAATAAGAGATGTATGTGAAATGAAAAGAGAGATACTTTAACCGAAACAATTTTAAAACAGATTGATTATACAGGTATATAAAATAGACTGCTAAAAATAAGTATTTAAAAGAATTAAATAAAAACAGTTACTGTTTGAAAGAGGTTTGTGTTGTTGTTTTTTTATTGATGTAGCCTTTGTGGTGGTTACAATGCATCATATAAAATATATCTCATTTAATACAGCCTATGCATATCGGTTATACACAGCCTGAATAAAAGGAGCATGCATTAATGATAGTCAAAAATAGAAATCAAATAAGGCGACACACACGCATTTCTCTTCCAGCTCCCCAAATGGGCTTGAGCACGCAGGCGCGCGAGACTCTGTCGAGTGAAGACGTATTGTTTCAATATTAATAAGGTGGCAGAGAGAGTCATTTCATATTGATTCCCCCGCGCTCAGCGCATTTCTGCAGCATATAAGGCGCTTGTCTGAGAGAAAAAAACCTCCAGATTGAAAAATGATAGTCGAGGGAAAAGTATTTATTCTGAACACATTTTAAGAAACATTAGTCTATCACCTTTTCAAGAGGCTACGGCCTTTTCCTGTTGTAAGTCAATCTGACAAATAATGATGTCGACACGAAAAACAAAACAACTTTAAATAGCCTACATAAAAATAGGCTACTCATAATTTTCAGCTATCTAAACACAGCAAGTGTAACCATTAAAAGTACAAAGTTTGCAAGAAAGCAAATCAAGACATATCCTGATGTCACGAATATCAAAGTATTTTTAATTACAACATTTAAAAATAATATCTTATCCCTTCAATAAATAAAAATACATATTCGTAGTTTCTTCAATGGTTTTTATATTTTATTTCGAATTCTGACTCTACAGAAACCTCTCATTCAGAAACGGAGAATATGCTAATAAAAAAAAAAGTCATTTTTCCATTAATTGGATTTTGAATGCATTTCTGCATATTTTTGCACACAAACTTGAATCCAAACCAACATTAAATCGAGTTGAACGTGGTTTAGAGAATAGGCTAACTGTTCAATTCTTTAAAAATTCATTGAAATATGTACGTTTTCACATTTTAAAAAAGTGAAGAAAAAACGAACGCATTAAAGCTACATTGATACGATAAATAAAATAAGAGTGTTCTGTTTTCGCTTATTTATTATACAGCTCTTCTGAAAATCAACCTAAATCAGACTGTGCATAAAAACCAACTCTATTTGATACATTGAGACATAAACAAGCTTATTTGGACCAGTGGTAAAATGAGCACTATTCTGAGACTGCATGAATGGGACTGAAGTCCTTGAACGCATTTTTTATTGCTCCTTTTTGACTTTGAAAATGAGATTGGATTTCATTCTGTCCCTGGAAGGGGATGACGACTACATTTGTAATCTCATTAAAATGCATGTTATTCTGTTGCTGGCACTGAATATATTATCCTCCACAGATCTTTGTGTAGTGCATAGAGATACATTTTTTTTTTGGTAGTTAAGAGTGTTTTTTTTTTTTTTTTCCAGTTCTGCAACACTCACAGGAACATTTCCTAACCACACAAAATGAGGAGGCTATACTGATTTTGACATTTAATCTTTAACAATGAAAGTAGAGGACATACACACTCACACTGAGATGGCTGGCTCCCCTACGGCTGCTCCACAACAGACTATGCATGGCCATTTTTCAGGGCTGGCAGGCTTGATCAATGTGCCCATGCCAGTGTCAGGCAGACTGCTTGTTTAGCTGTGTCTTTTCTCACAGTGCTGTGAGCAGAAAGGCAGGGCATTACAGTCACGCAGAGCATCATGGAAGGTTGGATTTATTTTTTATTTTTTTCTCAGCAACACAGTCAGCTGGAGTGTTTTGATCCACAGAGCAGAGATAATGATTTTAGCACTGAAAAAAGTTCAAAAAGGACCCTGCATAACATTCATGCTGATCAATTCATCAGTAAATCACAAGCGGCAACCTTTCGGTCTCTTTAGTGAAACCAACATGGAAGTGACTAAAACTGCAATTCATCAACTGGCCGCTAGAGGCTGGCTCCAATAGGGAGTCAGTCCCATAAACTCCCCATGGTAAAATGCCCAACTTTACAGCTGAAAAATATGTTTACAGCCTGGTACAAAAAATGGTTTTGGTCTATATAGCTAGGGGGGTGAATTGTTTTTTATAACTCATCCGTTTAAATTATATTAAGCCTTAAAGTTCTGCATAATTAAGGGCGTGGCCACTTGAGTGACAGGTGGATTGCCACTGTTGTCACCACTGTCGAGCTAGGTGGGCGTGGTTTCAGCAACCAGCTCCCACCTCTATGCCCATTTTCGATTATCCGGGAGTGACGCGCTGCCAAGATGGCAATGGCCGCCTCCGCCAACTTTGAACTTCAAAAACGCTCTTTAGTACCTACGGGTGACGTCACGGACACTACATCCATGTTTTTATACAGTCTAGGGTAAATCAATGAATCAAATTACCTGGGATGCGTTTCTCAAAAGATAGTTAGCCATCTATGGTAACAAGTTCCGCTGTTGGTGTTTCCCAAATCCATAATTCCAACTAACATTCTCAAACAACATCGCAAAAATGTGTGTTTGGATCCGCTCTCCCCCTGTGGTTTGTTTCTTAGAATGGCATTTGGACTTAACTAGATCATGCACTTGAGCAAAATAAGCAAGCTAACATGTAGTACGTACAATCTACGGTATATTTCATTCAATCTACGTCTTTGTTAGGTGCAATGAAGCGCCATTTTGAGAGTGCTTTTGTGCACTAGTAAATACTTAGATGGGGAAATCTGAAATCGGACTTAGCCTGTTCAGCAATATTGTGTTGCACTTTCTCCCATTCCCACATAGGTCTAATGTGAATGCATCTTCTTTGTAGCCTAAATCTAAAGTCTTTGGTAGTTAGGCCTACTGGGAACCCCGGAGTGATGTAGGCTAAACCGCAAAACAACAAATAAAGTGAACAAAAATAGCCAAGCAGTCCTTAAATGCCATTGTTAATTTAATTTATTAAAGGGGTCATATGATGTTGCTAAAAGGAACATTATTTTGTGTATGTGGTGTAATGAAATGTATTTATGCGGTTTAAGGTTCAAAAAACACATTATTTTCCACATACTGTACATTATTGTTTCTCCTCTATGCCCCGCCTTTCTGAAACGCGTCGGTTTTTACAAAGCTCATCGGTCTGAAAAGCGAGGGGGAAACATAAAACCATGTTTGCATTTGTGATCGGAGAAATGACAAACAACAAGCGCTACTCTACACTGCCCAAAACTCGCGTTTGAATCGTCAGTGGCAAATCCTTTAAATGAAAACGTACTTACAGTCTGTGAGTCAGAACAGCCGGCATTGTAGTCTACTCTCCCAGGATCAGGAAACAGTGCTCCATAAAATGTGCTGCACACATCTGAATATTTGGGTTGAAGTGTTCTGGAACAGTGTTGAAAATACAACTTAACCACTGATTTCTAGATGTGTCCTCTTTTGGAAGGCCAAACAAAGTAGTTTCACTTTCACAACGAAACACACGGCGGCAACAATACTACAGCGATAATCAAAGTTACGCCTTCTTTCTTTGCGTGAACATTTGGGCGGTGTTATGCAAATCTTCCCACATTGTGACGTAGACATGTGGGGGCATGTTAGAGCGAGCCGTTTTAGGTAGGCGTGGTTGATTCTTAACTTTTATAAAGCATATCTCTTTGGATTTGAGACTTTAGACTTTGCAACTAAAAACGGAAAACTTTTTAACGTTTATTTAAACAACAACAGCGTTTTGTTGATCCGAAAACAGGTTTCAAAGTGCAAGTTCTTGAAAAGGATACCATTATGTCGTATCTGTGTAAACTAAAAAAATTTGTGAAAACTAGGACATGCCCATGCGTATTACATGTCCGCGTGGCATTTCTTTACAAAGTGGCATCGCAAACTACTTGTATAGCATTCATAATGTTTAAAGTCGTTTTCGCAGATAAATGTGAACGGGATCATTTTGACATCGCTGTTGTGTAATGTAGGCTACCCTTAGTTTCTACTAGGATGCATCATGCTATGGTGGTTAAGCAGTGAGTCTATCATCTATCTATCTATCCATCTGTCTGTCTGTCTGTCTGTCTATCTATCGTGGTAGAAACACAACTGATTTTATA